TCTGGCGGAGGTTGGAATCCTTTCACACACTCGTGGAATTCTTGTTTTATTTGTGTGGCATTTTGGTGAAATAGGGGTATAATCTCACCCCCCCCCCCCCCCCTTGTTTTTTGTCATGTTGTCTCCTTCTTTTCTATCAAATATCGATCGTCCTTAACTCTCCTCCTTTGTTTCTTAGAATGTTACTCTCTAGTAACACCTCTAATATTTGGTAATTATGTGACCTATTTATGTTGCAAATGCCGTAAAACTCTTGCTAAAATTACTACTTTCTTATCAAACATCTATTGTCCTTATCTTTTCGTCTTCTTTTCTTTGTTTGTTGGTACAAAAATGCAACTTCTTTCTTCTTCGGCACCTACATGATGTATTTGTCTTGCAAGTGCTGTAAAGCTCTAACTAAAACAAAAACAAGTGAAAAGTAACTTTACTGATCTGTATTCTTCTCTTGTGTGTTGTCCCTTGTCTCTCCCCCTCCTCCCCTCCCCCTTACCCCAATCAGTTGGCCGGACTTCAGAAGGACAACGTGCGACTGCGTGGCGACCTTGACCGTGAGATGGCGACCCGCCAGAACCTGGAGATGCAGTTACAGAGTCGTGACCAGCTGGTGGAGAGTCTGAGGTCACAGCTGGACCAGAGCAGCTACAAGAGGCTGATGGAGAGGGCTGATCAGTACAGGGATCCTGAGAAACTGGTGGGTTGTGGGTTGTGTTGGATGTGGGATGTGGGCTGTATGGGATGTGTTGGTTTAGTGGGTTGTGTGGGATGTGGGTTGTGTTGGTTGGTGGGATGTGGGTTGTGGGTCAGTGGTTTGTGGTTTGTGTGTGGGAGTGAAGAGCAGCTACAAGAGGCTGACGGAGAGGGCGGAACAGTACAGGGATTCTGTGAAACTGGTGGGTTGTGGGATGTGTTGGTTTAGTGGGTTGTATGGGATTTGGATTGTGTGAGATGTGTGGGTTAATGGATTCATGGGTTGTGTGTGTGTGTGTGTGTGTGTGTGTGGAGAGGGTGGTGGAGAGGGCGGAACAGTACAGGGACCCTGAGAAACTGGTTGGTAAGTGGGATATTTGGGTTTTTATGGGTTGTGGGTTGTGTGGGAGTGTAGAGCAGCTACAAGAGGCTGATGGAGAGGGTGGAGCAGTCCAGGGATTCTGTGAAACTGGTGGGTGTTAATGGGTTCATGAGTTTGTTGTTTGTGTGAGATGTGTGGGAGTGTAGAGGGTGATGGTCAGGGCAGAACAGTACAGGGATCCTGAGAAACTGGAGGGTTGTGGGATGTGTGGGATGTGTTGGTTTAGTGGGTTGTGTGGGATTTGGATTGTGTGGGTTAATGAGTTCATGGGTTGTGTGTGTGTGTGGAGAGGGTGATGGAGAGGGCGAAACAGTACAGGGATTCTGAGAAACTGGTGGGTAAGTGGGATATTTGGGTTTTTATGGGTTGTGGGTTGTGTGAGAGTGTAGAGCAGCTACAAGAGGCTGATGGAGAGGGTGGAGCAGTCCAGGGATCCTGAGGAACTGGTGGGTTGTGTGGGTTGTGGGATGTGTTGGTTGTGTGGGATGTGTGGGTTATGGGCTTTGTATGTGGGAGTTTCTTGTATTTATCTCCTGACACGTCAGTGGTTTATGGGTTTTCCTTGTTGATTTATTTGGTGGGGGTTTCTCTCTCACTTTCCTTCTGTAGATTCTGTTTTAGTTTTTTGTTTTTTTTAAGGGATGGGAAATGAAAAGGTGGAGGGAGTAGAGAAGTGGAATCAAAATGGTACTAGATGGCCACTCTATGTCAAAGAGAAAAGTCATCTTCTTTATAAAAAAAAAGAAGGGAAAAGTGGGAAGTGGTTGTTTTTTTAGATGATCATCTTTTTTTATCCTCCTTCTTTTCCTTTTATGCTACTTTCTTGTAACACCTCTAATTTTCTGCATTTGTATGACCTATTTGTGTTGCAAATGCCGTAAAACTTGTGCTGAAACTAAACTCAGTTTTCACTCTGTGCACGGTGAAGGAGAAGTGTGCTCTAGTGAAATGTGACAATGTTGTTTTCAGGAGAAAATCATGTGCAGCGAGAAAGGCTTTAGCACAGCGTCAGAAAGTGATATCAGCGAGGTAGATGGTGTGATGTGCTTATTTTCGTGGCACTCGCACATACACTTGCCTTGCACCTCCCACTTTCATACACTCATGGACTCGTATACACGTACACACACTGACATACACTCACTTATATGCATACATGTGCATACTCATGCGCACACGCACGCACACACACACACACACACACACACACACACACACACACACACACTCACACACACACACACACACACACACACACACACACATTGCCTTACATTGGCACATACACACAAATGTACATTGAAACACATACATACATATGTACACACACTCACAAATGCTCACACACACAAACGTATGTACACACGCTAACACACTTACCCGAACAAGCTATACTCACTCAAAATACACACAAAAAAACAAACACACACTCTCTCACACACACACACACACACACACAAACACACACTCACACTTTCACTCTGCGTGGATCTTATCACTGTTGTTGCCATGTTATCATCCTGCACTATGTGGTGTGTGTGTGTATGTGTGTGCGTGTGTTTGTTTGTGTGCTTGTCTGTCTGTCTGTCCGGGGGTGGGGAGGGAGGAAGAGGAGGAGGGGTTCAGCTCCTTTGGTCCTATAGTTAGTTCGGTCAGGCTGGTGGGGCATGGGGGAGGGTCACCTCCCTTGGTCCGGTGGTTACATTAGACTCTCTCTCTCTATAATGTCAAGCATACTTCAAAGCTACCTCATTTAGATAGGTGGCCATTGGGTTTTTCCTTGCGTATTAAGACAGGATAACTCTAGCTCAGTTACTGGGCTCTGCAGCACTGTGGAGATGAACAATTGTCTGGAAAATGTTCTGTGTTGCTGTGATTTTGTGAATGATCTGTCATTGATTATGAATTATTTAAATTAACCCAATGCCTTGTACTCTCCGGTGATGATAAATGTGATATTTTGTGTTTTTTTCTTTTATTCATTTTTTAATGGTTTTTTAAATTTTAGTTCTGTTGCTGTGAATTGTTCACCTGTGTGTGAGATTGCTCTTTGTGCACATGTAAGTGAGTGACTGTAATGTTATGATACTTCATTTCAAATTGGAAAGTTTATATTTTACGGGGGGGGGGGGGGGGGGGTTCAGCATATAACTGGGCCTACTGGTGTGGTAATAATTACAATAATATAGTAATTGTTAAAATCTTAATGATAATGATAATTAACTCATCCAGTCCTAACAATTTTTGTGCACCTGCTAACCCCAGTCCCAGCTAATATAGCAGTATTTCAGAAAAAGAAGCATGCATTCTAAAAAGTTATGTTGTTTCTTTGTAATGAAGTTTAGACAATAACATACAACAATGTATAAAGGTAAATAAACAAATATTACGAAAATTAGAATTTAATTAGGTTCGCTAATTTCGAAAAATGCGCAAATTCCATACCCTCTGAAACTGGGAATATACGCTCTTGGGACGATGGGAGGTACTAGCGCTACTGAAAATATACACGCATGGGGCTGGAAGGGTTAAGATCACTTCTATTGCGCTAACTCCCTGGTGGTTCTCGCTATTTCACAATGAAATAAAATTCAAATTTTTTTAAAAATTTATTTTGACAGCTTATACAAAGAATACATGTTATGCATACTGTTCAGTGTACTGCAATCCTGCATACCTTTGAAGTTGTGATATTAGAGGTGTAGGCAGAGTTGTCTTTTCTTTAGGCTTATGAAAAGGAGTAACAAAAAAGCTTACAATAGGATGAATAGAAAGGTATACAAAAAGTGGGAAAAGAAAGATATGTAAAAAGAAGGAATGAAAAAAGCTTACAAAAGAAAGAAAAGCAAGGCTTATGAAATTTTTTTAAAAGTAGGAAAAGAAGAAAAGAAAGATTTGAGGAGGAGAAATAAAGGAAAGCTTTCAAAAAGAAGAAGAGTAAAACATAAGAAAAGGAGAAAAGAAAGATTTGAGGAGGAGAAATAAAGGAAAGCTTTCAAAAAGAAGAAGAGTAAAACATAAGAAAAGGAGAAAAGAATGACGTAGGAAAAAAGGTGACAAAAGAAGCGTCTTTTTGTTCTTTCCTTGTTTTAATTGCTCCCACTCCCCTTTCCTGTTGATGTCTCCCCCAGGCGCGCACGGCCTTGAGTAAAGTGGCGGAGGATTGCGGCACCGATCCCAACAATATGGACAAGTCTTACTGGATACAGCGGGTCGGAGAGGTACGCACGTCCTTCTTTCCTTCATCTCTTCTTCCTTTATTATCCCCACACTCATTGCAAGATTTTTAGCACTTTCTTTGTTGTTTTCTTTTTTGTTGTTGAAACATTTCAAGCAAACAATTTTGTTGTATTTCTTAGTCGTGCGTTTTCTTGTTGCAGTCTCAAAATTTTGCAGTTTAAAATTTTTTTGCACAGCTACATTTTATGTGTTAGATGTTTTCTTGTTGCAGTTTGTAAATTATGCACACGGTCGTGACGACCGCTGCCTTCAGAGACCAGTTGGCTTGTGACATTTGCTGTGTGTTTTTGACAGCACCACACTTTGCTGCACTTTGATCAGTTTTGAGCATTTTTCATTTAATTTTTCCCCAAGTGTTTCTGTTTCGTTGATGCTAGAAAATGTTTAGTGGTAAAAATTCTTAAATGTGACCGATCGTTCTAATTTTGAGAGAGATTTGCTTTGCTTTTTATTTAAACGATAATTGTCTAGTAGTGAAGGTTGTAGGGGGGAACGTGTTGTGCATACATGTCAAGAGTTGTGTTGAGATTTGTTTAAACTTTGACCTCTCCCTGACAATCCTGGTTATTTTTTCGTAGAACTGATTACTTAGCATAATGAGCAGGTCAGAGTTCAGCCAGAATGTGGCATAAACTCTTACTCAACACATGCATTACTTCCTCTCTCTTATGCCTTTTTTCTCCTTGATAGATTAAGTTAGATACATGTTTTTGAAGTGTAGCATTTTGATCAAGTGCTTTTTTATGTAGTTATGTGAGGTAATGTGTATCTGATTAGCGCGTGTGTAGTTTTTTGTGTTGATAACATGACAGTCGTCGTGACTTGACCCAATTCTCTGCCTTCTCACGACAGACAAGCCAATCCTAGGAGCTATGGCTAGGTTAGTCTCAGACCTGTTCTTGCAGCCGCTCGTAGACAGAACCTGTAGTAGAAGGCGGCAGCTTGCCTTGTTCTTGTTTTGTTTCTTTAGACGTGCTGCATTACTGTAGTGACACTGTGGTACTGTAGACTGGACTAACACTCGCACTTATCTCTCCTAGCTTGGCACTTACACCGTCTCACTAAAGCTTCTCAAAGTTCCATAGCACAGCTTTTTTAACATATTATATAAATTTGTATGTTATATTTTCTAAATTATTGTTATTATTTTCCTTGTGTATGCGCATGTATATGTAATCTGCATCCACTTATATCTACTGTTTTGTATGTCTGCATGGTTTTGTTTTCCTATACTTTTAATATCCCTTTTTGTAACCTTGGCTATTTCATACGGAAATTTCTTTTTTCTTTGATGAAAAAAAACACACTTTGCAAGTCTGATGTTTTCTGGTTGACTTTTCTCTTTAAGTCTGTAACTTTAATTGTAGGTGTGGCTTTTATTTTAATTGGCTTTACTTCTAGGCTAAAAAATTAACTATAATTATATGTCTTTTAACTATAGTTGAAAATTTCTAAGACAGCTACCCATTGTCAAGGTGAAAAGTTTTGGAATCTTTCAGATTTGGCAGGTCTTCCTGGAGTCAGAATAAAACCACTTCTGTGATCTCTGAGCCACTTTTTTCTCTTATGTTTTCCAGTTATCTCCAGCTCTGTTATGTATATATTTTAGAAAGAAAAAGTTGGGTGTTTAGTATATATTGTAAAAAAGAAAATGTTGGGGGGTTTTTTGTCTGTCCTGTAGAGCGTGATCTCGGCGCTGCATGTAGTTTGCTATTTTTTTTTTCACTTAAGTTGTATGTCTTATGTATCACTATCAGCTTGCCTCTTTTAACAGTTAAAATATATGATTGATATTGTGAAACCCATTTCTACAGTATGCATGTGCAACAACAACAAAAAATTGACATCATTATCATGTCCAGATTCCTATTTCTTCTTTCGTTTTCTCCTTTGACCTTTGGCTTTGGTGTGTGCATAGACTAGTATTATTTATAGTAATATACAAATCTATGGGTGTGTACTTAAACATACTATTTATATTAACTTACCGATCTATGGGTTTGTGCATAGACTGGTGCTATTTATAGCAGTATACAATTTTATTGGTGTGTGTTAAAACCTCACTTGACTGTGTGTTCTCTTTCTCTAAGGGGCAGAGAAAGTGGTGGGCTGTATGTGTATCTTTTTGTCTTTGTGTATCTTTGTATCTTTAATATATCTTGTCCTTCCCTGTATGTGTATCTTTGTATCTTTAGTAGATCTTGTCCTTTCTTGTATGTGTAACTTTGTATCATTAATTTTAATCGATCACATCTTTTCCTGGTATCTTTGTACCTTAAATTAATAGACCTTGTCCTTCCCATGTATATTTAACTTTTACATGTCATAAGCCTATTCCTGCTTTGTTGTAGCAAATTTAGTTTGAAATAAGTGCTGTATACATTAGGATTTTAAACTTTTAAAAATATTTTGAGCATCAAACATGTATTGCTCACTCAAATTTTTAGAAAAAAAGAAAGATAATAATAATAAATAACATTTATATAGCGCTCAACCCCGATTAAAGTGCACAGGCTCTCACTCCTCAGCACATTACAATACAGTACAACGTACAACAGTAACATAAAACGTTGTGTTCTGACTAAAAGAAAATTCATCTTATTTTTTTAAAAACAGAAACGACTTCAGCTGACATTTGAATGAATCAAAAGATTTGATCTCTCTTAAAGTACTTGGTAAAGCATTCCAGATCTTGGGGCCTTGGTATTCAAATGCCCCTTCACCCATTGTTTTAAGTTTCATAGATGGTAAAATAAATTTCTTTTTGTTAGCTGATGACCTTAAACTGCGAATTGGAATGTACAGTCTTAACAGATTTGATAAATATGATGGTGCATTACAATTTAAACATTTGTGACATAAGGTGGCCAACTTGTACACAATTCTTTTCTCAACAGGAAGCCAATGCAATGTCTGTAAAAGAGGTTTAGCAGAGTCTCGCTTTCTTTTCTGTAAAACTAAATTATTGATATATGAGGACACAGTTTTAGTACAAGCAATTAGATATGTACAGTTTATAATTAAATGAGGGAAGACAAATCGCGATAATGCAGCATCTTGTCATTTAATGTGCTGACCTCTAAGAGTTCATAAATCTTGCCCATAATACATCCCCCCATACTGTCTTTTATGGTAGATGTTGGGCAGTATCAGATGTGGCCTTACATGTGTAAATTTAGCTTTTGAATTTTAGCTAGGTTTGATTTTTTAAAAAGAAATGAACACGAGAGAAAAGTCAAACCATGCTACTGTAAGCTGTTGGTGGTAGTGTTCACAATTCAACGTCTACTGAAGTGATTAATGCAATGAAAAGTTGAATTTGTTTGGAATGAAGGATGTTTGGTACATACTATAATGATGTACATATTTTTCTCTTTGATACGACATAATGAAAATGCTGAAGGATCATTTTTGTTATGTTTGATATCTTAGCTGCTGTGTGATTTTGTCTTGATGTTTTATGATCACATCAGCTGATTTAAATTCTGTGCGAGTAGATTAACACTAGGCACCCACGGGACGCTGATCGGCGACGGTAAGAAGCCGTCCCTTTTTCCCACGGGAGGCCGATCGGAGAAGGTGTGATATATAGTGTGTACCGCACCTGTATCCTGGTCCGTGGGGGTAAGTGTTGTACGCTCAGCGCGCTACGTGGGTCAAAAAAGTGTTAATGGTATGATGTATGCATTTTGACTTATACTTTTCACCTCCCTGTGACCTTTATGTGTCACCTTTGTATTCACCTTTGCGTGTGTGACCTTTGTGTGTGACCTTTGCCCTGTGTGTGTGTCCCCAGCTGTCCATCCAGCTGCAGCAGAGCTCAGAGTACTGGTCGGACAAGGTCAGGGATCTCTCCAACCAGCTGGAGAAGTCTCGCTCCGTGTCGTCCTCCATCATCTCCAAGGTTCACTGAGCAGCGACCCCCCTCCACCGTCTCCACCCTTCCCCCCTCCTCAATGAAGTCTGACCTCCTCACCTCTATACAAGCCTTATATTTTATATATACATATTAATATGTATGTCTGTGTGTCTGTATGTTGTTGTTGTTGTGCGTGGAGGGGTACGTGTATGTTGGCAGTGTGCACGGATAAGTTAGGACTTGTAGTGCGGTATTTACGAGTCACCTGTCACTTTGGCTGTGTCTTTCCGTCTGTGCCCCGTTCTTTACCACAACGCCCCCCACCCCCACCCCACACACACACCCCATTTTCTGTCACAGTCTCTGCTTCAATGAATTATTTCATGAAGTTGTAGGCCGCTGTCAGCTTTCATGTTGTCAGTGTGTGAGGGAGGTAGATCTTTCCTGATTTCTTTTTGCCTCCAATTTGACCCTTCGGCACAATTTTCATCAGGTCTGTTTCTTTAACATTATTTGTGGGACCAAGTCCACGGTACCGGTACTTGAAGTTTAGTACATGAATGTCCTTTTGCTCATCTCGTATTGTGAGAGAAAAACCAAAGAAGATGTCCCAAAGATATGTCATCGACGTCAGAAACTCAAAAAAAAAAAACCCTTGTCTGGTTACCATTTTTGTTCTTTTTCACTTTAACCATATCAGTACGCCCTGGGGTCATTTTGTACCCCCGGGGTTGTTTCTTCACATTTTAGAATACCTCTAGTACGAAGATCAATTTGAAACTTTCAGTATTTCTCTAAAAATCATTTTGGCAGACTGGCTATGCAAAGCATACAGATTGGTTTAACAAGTAAATTACCTCTTTGGAAAGTGGTGGCACAGAGTTCCCCACATCATGTGGATACAAAAGTAAAACACATTGTATGGATAGGTTTAAACTTTGAGAATAATGTTATTGGAAAAACTTGGAACAATTGTTACTAAAATGATCCAGGAAATGGTGCCTGCTGAGATCCCATGGCTTCAAAGTTGATGACCTTAAGGTCACGACATTTTCTGTAGTTGATTCTTGTTGTACATTTGTTGTCATGTGTGGCTGCCTGACAAATCCGACACATATATTTTTATGCGTCTGTGTAACTGACATGTGTGCTTTTTCCATTCTTACATTCAAAGGAAGTGTCGATCTTATTCTAACACTAGTAGCTAGGTAGGTGGATTATATTAAAACAATTCTAGTCTTTCTCTATACCCCACAGGTATGTAGATGTCAGTATTTTGCTGTCAGTTTCAGTAATCACATTCAGTGTTTGGGCTGTGACTGCTTAGTTTTTATTCTCATTCATAGACACAAGAAATTAATTTCTCTTTGTTGATGTTCATTAACAACTAACATGGCCGGTTTTCTGATCATTCTCGGTCGCTGTGTCCAGTGGAATATCTGTGCATGTCCATTGTGTTGAGGTCTAGACATGTTCTTACAGAGGACAATGTATCTATTTGAACTAATAATAGATTCTAACTTCAGCAGGAATCTCGTCTTTAGATCTTGTGTTATATAACTTAATAATGGGTGGTTTATCATTGAAAGTTTTATCATTTAGAGTTTATTTTGGTGTGATTTCGGTTTTTTTACGTTTCTCTAAATAATCCATCCAGGGGGCTTCTCCTACAACAAGGTGTGCACTACACACCATGTGTGTTCCCTTACAACAAGGTGTATGCTACACGTCGTGTGTGTTCCCTTACAACAAGGTGTATGCTACACGTCATGTGTGTTCCCTTACAACAAGGTGTATGCTACACGTCATGTGTGTTCCCTTACAACAAGGTGTGTGCTACACGTCGTGTGTGTTCCCTTACAACAAGGTGTGTGCTACACGTCGTGTGTGTTCCCTTACAACAAGGTGTATGCTACACGTCGTGTGTGTTCCCTTACGTAAGTTACAACAAGGTGTGTGCTCCACATCTGTATATTTTTGCCGTAACCGTTGACGGGCTCTGTGACAGACCTTAGTGCTGTGACACCTTCATCTTGCCGTTCTCCAGAAAATTCTGATGCTCTCTCTCATTCACACATACACACACAAATCTCTCTCCTTCTGCTGTTTGTGATATGGTCCCATTATTCCTGGTGGAATCACACAGCTTCCTGTTCTATTTATAAAGTTCTGTGTTTACAAATTCAAAGTTTTTCTTATACAGAGATTTAATGTTTTTATTTTTATCTTTATTGGCCAAGTCGTGCGTTGTTTGGAAACTGGATATTTTGTTTCGTATTGTGATGTGAGGTTGTTGTTTTTAAGAAGTTACACATTTTTAGATTAGTGGATAAGATTTCAGAGATCCTTTGACTTTGAGAATGACGGTGATGACTATATTATTTTGTTGTTAGTGATGTTAGACTAACTTGTGATATGTGTACTTGATTTTTAACGTTTGAACTTGTTATTTTGACTATATTTCTGTCCGTCCGACAGTTCGATAGTTCAAAGCACACTATTTGACTATTCCGTCCCAACCTTCAAAGCATTCCTTATGTTTCTCTTTCAGAAGTATTGCTTGTATGCACAAAGTTTTCGTTATTTACATGTATTTTTTATATATATTTTAATTAATTTAGGAGTCTAAGTCACATTTACTTTAAGTATTTACTACTTCATATATTCTTATAAATTTTAGGATACAGTGTGTGATCAATACAAAAAAATCCCTCCATTATATACATGACATAGATGTTTATAATTCAAAAAATTTTCGTAGAGAAGAAGAAAAAAAGGTTTAACCATGCCTTGACTTATGGTATACTGCATTACAATCAGTTTGTGGTAGCGAGATGAACTCCCCTACACTGAGCTGAGCACCGTGCTAATTTTGCGGTTCATCTGAAACTCTACAGCTTTGTACTGTCCCCCATCTTTTGTAATAAACACAGATTGTCTACAGATATGAGACTTGTCTGAGTTTTTAAAAAATTGTCTCTTTAAAAAAAAAAAAAGAATTCCTATTTCTTTATCCTTTTTCCCTTCCTCTTCTGCCTTTTCTTGGTCCTCATCCTCATCCTGGGCCTCCTCTGTGCTCCTCTCTACTTATCTTCTGTCTTTTTCAACTGCTACTCATAGCTCCTTCTTACTGCTGTCTTTCAGTTACACCCTTGTTTTTAGGGTGAGTAATATCGAACCTGCTTGTATATGGGCAAAAAATCTCGGAGGTCATGTGGGCTAGTTGCCCATGTTATTTGGTAAATTTAATTCTTTCTGATCTGATAGAAAATCTACTTTCAGCTTTCAAACAAAAAATTTTCTTTGTGGTAGCTACCTAAATGAAGACAGTCCTTTACTCCACAAGGAATTTTATCAAATGTAGGTACTTTACGCCGCCATCGACACAAGATCATTTTTCAGCTGGGCTTCCAACCTTGCCTGTCAGGGCTAACCCATGTTGAGGACGCAACATCCCAGCAGAAAGACAGCGATATTTGATAAAAATTTCTCCCCACTCGAGTATTGTACTCGCCACTCAGGTATCAAATTCAGGTCTTCTGCGTGTGACAGCAAAGAATTTAACCACTAGACCACATGCCAGAGGTCATTTAGTGCTGGGGAAAAAGCAAAACAGACAGACAGAAGCTACACAGGGAAAGAAAAGAGGTAGAACCACCTACTAATGCCACCCTCCAACCATCCACACACAGAGGCAGAAACAACAAAGAGAAAGAAACCAAACAGAACCACCTACCAGTGGCACCCTCCAACCACCCGGGCCCTGAGAACACACTAATGACATGTCACACCAAAACCTGTGTCATAGAGATAGGCTGACACAGTTGACACATCCAAGGGTTTTTTTCTTTTAAAAAACCAAAAACAAATTTATGTAGGCATTTTTATGGGCCCATTAACAACACAATTTAGATCATAATTTTTCGGCGACTGCCTTCAACCCAACCTGGGCTAAAAGGGATCCAACGTCCCAACAGAAAGACTTGAGATACTCAACAAAAGTTCTCCCTGCTCGGAAACTGAACTCGGGTCTCCTGCATGTGACAGTGAAGCGCCTAACACTAACAGCCACACCAGACACCAGAATGTTACTTTTTCTGGCAGGAAAAGGATTAAAGTATATGTATATATATATATATGCTATTTATATATATATAGCCTGTACAATGTATCTTCTGAAAGAGAAGTAAGAAAAAACAAATTATGTCACACAAGATCTGCATTTTTTTTCATTATAATTTATTCCTTCAAGAAACATTGCAGCTCCCGTCATGTAACAATAACAATAAAGACAGTACTTTACTCCAAAAAATTATATTTATTCTATTTATTTTCAATGCAGGTGTTTTTACTGTGTTATACCCCCATCTACACAAGTTAAATCATATTTAGGAGGTGAGCTTCGAACCCTTCCTGTTAGACTGGTTGGAGCCAACCTGGGCAGAGAGGGATATAACTTCTTAGTAGAAAGACTGAGAAATCCACCCCACATGAGAATCAAACTCTCGTCTCCTGTGTGTGCCTGTCTGTGTTCCAAGAATGAATCAAACTGTACTGTGTTGTTAATGCAAGAAGTCGTAGAACTTTAGTCTCCATACATAAAACATATCAATGTCATTATGGTAAGCTCTTACCGTGAAATAGGTCAACTCTTCTTTTATCGTTCTAAAACCATTGCCGAGGTCGATCTGTGGGTCCTTAATAAAAAGTCAGGAGTTAGCTTGCACAGGTAAAAGTATTGTGAGCTAACTTTCGTGAATTTTCTTATCATTTCAATCAGAAGGATATTTATTGTCTGTTTGAAAATGTTCTAGAAACCAGTTTAATGATTAGAGCTTATCAGTATGTCACCTGAACAAATCTACCCATGACTATGTATCATGAACAAATCTACCCATGGCTATGTAGCATGGACAAATCTACCTGTGGCTATGTAGCTCATCAACAAATCTACCTGTGGCTATGTATCTTGTGAACAAATCTACCCGTATAAACAAAGACAAATAAAACGCTGTACAAGTGTAGTGTTGGAGGGAGATAGGACAGAGACCTCCCATTCTTCCTTCAGTATAAATGTCAGGAGTGAGAGAACTGTGGTGCACCTTCACCCAAACAGTGGATACAAAAACTCAACAGATGAAAATTATGCATCTTTTGGTGTAAATATGGATATCCTTTAAAGTTTGAAATAAGAAGTGCAACAGAAAACCACCCCCGAGAAAAATGACAACATCAAACTTTTAGTCTCCCAAGACATCAACTTGAGAGAACCAGATCTGTCTTATATACTGTAAAACCTCGGTTTAACAGTACTTCTTTTAGAATCAAGATTTTGAACTTCTTAGCTGAGGTACGTATTAGTCAAAAGGAATGGATGTACGAAATAGGACTTGGTGCTTCAGAAAGTGAATGTTACAGCCGGGAGAACTTTTGAAATCGAATATGTTATACCGAGGTTTCACTGAACCAACAAAAAAAACTTTTGCCAGCATTATCAAACAACACACATCACATTATGCCAATATCATGTTTAAAAAACATTACATTATAAAAATACTTTTTTTTTCAAACAAAGTTGTTTGCAAAGCCCACATGACCAGAGAAAGGAATCAAGCATGTTCAGGGTAGGCCCTAGTCTACCCGACACAGCAGAACCTCTCATGGTGGAGGTGAAAGGCAAGGATATGAACAGTTTTACCAACTTGCTAAAAATTCCTTGATTAGAAAGTTTTCCTCAGAAGCCACCTTAAAAAATTTGGGGGTAAAAAAATATCAGTCACAAGAACCCCAGTAGATTCAGTTTACGTTTCAAACCAATCATCGTAAATAAATGTGCATTGCAAATACGTGCATACAAAAATGTGGATATTCACATCATTTGCATGTTGCGCAAATATTGCAAACTAACTCAAATAGAGCTGTGTATTTTCACATTATTTAAGACAAGTTGCAAATGACTGATGGAAACGGAATTCAAGAAAGGAATACAAAAGTATTTCATGCAAATCCCATCAGGGTTCTTTCATAGACAAAAAAAGTCAGAGGGCTCCTATTTTGTCGCAGTAATTGGCAGGTCTGGTTGACTTAGTTTAGATAATTTTGGAGGCTGGATGAAAGTGGATCAACGGTTCATGTATGTAACAAACCAACAGAATCATAATCATGATGTGAGTAGAAAGCCCAGGGGACATCAGCATGGAGAAATGTTGCATTGTATCACAAAACTGCTCTGACACACTGGAATCTTGACACACACACGCACAATTACACACATGTAAAATATCTCAGCATACAGCATGGCATTCTTTTAGGGCATGACAACACACACATACACTGCACAGCTCACTACACAAGTAAATTATATATCTCTACACTCTCTCTTCCACTCCCCCCCCCTCCCCCCATTTCCTTTCTCTTTCTCCACCACCCCCCCCCCCCCCCACCCCATATAACCCCCCTCAGAGATGCCCTGTCTTCCCCGTGGTGATATGTTCCACCTGCCCGTCACTCAACACAATATACTCGGTCGTCTCCTCTCCCTCCGTCTGTATCTGAGCGTGGACCCTGGCGCTGTTCACAAGCTGACCCTGCGTCTTCAACAACTCCACCAGCAGGAGCCTCTCTGTCCTCTCGAACTCAAACTTCTCCTTCTGCAGCTCCATCTCACGTCTGCGTACCTCCATCTCCTCCCTCCTCAGTGCCATCTCCTTCCACCTCAGTTTTCTTTCGTCTTCGTCCCGAGATTTCCAGTAGGACAAGAATGCGGCCATCTCCTTCTCCATGTTGGTCGATGACCCCGAGCCGCTGCTCTCGTCCAGGAAAGCTGCAGGGAATTGTGTGAGAGGCGAAACAAAAATAAACCATAGTGAATTCAATGTGTTGTACATGCTATCCTGTCATTACAGTTTAACTTTGTTGAAACATGCCTGTTCGGTCTATATTTAATGGTGTCTTTTGACAGTTCAGTAATAAAATTAGCTAGACTCATTTCTACTTTCACCTAACTGTTCATGATGTGAACTACAGCCACTGTCCATACTTCTAGCAGCTTCTGGCATGTATTGTGGGTACTTGTTAGAGTTAGAGCCCTTTAGTTCACTATCTGACTTTTGGAACTTCTTCACACATGTTCCATTCAAGCTTTTTCGGAAGCTTCTCCACTATCACAAAGATCATAGTGACCTCGATATTTGCTCTAGTCCACATGGCTTTATTGCAATTTGTGGGTGATTTTAATTTGTACTTCCTAGCCCCCAAAAAATATCTCACAAAACTTCAATAAATTTATACTGAAATGAAAGTGGCTCAGCTGCTGGGTCTGCGCTTCCCGTAGATTGAACGGGAAAAGAATACTGAAGGCATCAGCCAATAATACTATTCCCGCATATATACAAGATGAGACGAGTTCCCAAACAGAGTGTCCCCTGAATACATGGGAAGCTTCGCAAGTTACGTCAGTCAATACGGAGTAAATGATCTGAATACACACTTTAGGCGAGCCCTACAAAAGTCCAAAATCACTTACATCCATCGAGGAAGTCCGGGGCATCTATTGTCCCATCCCCAGCACCGTCCTCATCCTCGTCCTCCTCAAACTTGTTGACACTTCTGTTCTTCAGGTACTTGGCTTTGTCCTTCAGGTATTCCTCATAACTCTCCGCAACTTTCCGCGGTCGGCCACGCCCTCTTTTCACCGGGGTCGGGCCGTCTGCCATCACCATACGCTTCTTGCGACCTCGTTTCTGTGGAATGTGTTCTGCGAAGTCTGACATTTTCTTTGCTTCAATCATTCTATGCAAAATGATGCCCATGTGATCATTTGAGAGTGGTGACCTGAAAAGAAAAAAAGTTAAGATATAATGCCAAAGATTAAATTTCAAATACAAAGAGAAAAGAATTTCAGTCAGGAAAAGGAAAGCTTAGTAGATCTTGTGATCTAATCTGTCTTGACATTGCAAAAACCATATATAAACAAGCAAATCTGGTTCACACAAATGTTTAATATCATGTGTTCATATGCACACACACACACACACACATTTATAAACATGTCCACCTAAAGTATGCACACACCCAAACATATACACACAATTGTACTAGAACAAACATACACAACTGTATCATTCATTCGACAAAGACCATAGCAGACACACATTCAAACAAATACAGATATGTGCATACAGATCCACACATAGAAGACAGTACACATACATTCGTACAAACACAACCATACACATCAGACCTTCACAAAGATTGAAGTACACAGACACAAACATTCATACACAAAAGCAAACATACACCTACACTGATTGGCAATCAAAGACAGACATACAACCACACACTCACACTGACTGGTCACCAAAGACGTACACACATACGAACAAAAACAAACAGACAAACAGACACCCACACTGTTTTTCATTAAAATACAACACACAAAACTTGTCCAGCTTTACTCACCGTCCTCCGCTGTTGACCAGGTATCTCTCCATGAGGAATTGAACCCGTTTCTTCAGCATGCGCTGTGTCATGTGCTGTAGGCGGGGGTCGGCGTCTTGAACCTGGAACAGCGTGGCCCGCCACCGAAGGTCGCCTTTCTTGAACTCAAACACTTTGTTCTGGTCAACAACCTGAGTGATGATCAGATCTAGCTCGTCGTTGTATGACACTGGTCGGATTTTCCTGGAGCAGACAGGAGGAGGAATTGATGAAAAGAACACACTACAACACACAAACACTAAGAACAACGACAACACATAAAAATTAATTACAATAACAATACATGAACAATAAGAACACACTACAACATGCAAACAATAAGAACAAAGAACTAAACACAAATAAAAAGAACACACTACTATACACAATATATTATACAAGGTGGATATTCCTGGATGAATTACATGACTCTTTCTAAGAACAAGCTATTATATGGGATGATGTTCGTCCTTCACTGGCGAAGATGGCCTTGACTTCACATCACTGGAGGGGTGGGGCGTGTGCGGAGATGGCTGATCAGGCCGATCTTCGCACGGAAATGTCTGTTGCAGAGGGGGCAGGGGATGTTTGGGGCTGAATTAGGCTGGAAGGTAGGGCACTCTCGGTCTTTTCTCAGCTGCCGTCTCCATTCTTTCTTTCTGACGCGACTTTCTTCTAATTTCGCCACACCCAATCTTATTAAGGAGCGCCAAACTGTGCGGTCGCGAGCAGCTTCTTCCCAGGTGGTATGGGGAATGTCACAACTCTTCAGGGATGCTTTCAGAGCATCTTTGAAGCGTTTCTTTTGTCCGCCGAGAGAGCGTTTGCCTTGGGTCAGTTCACCGTAGAGTAGCCTCTTTGGGAGGCGAGAGTCGTCCATGCAGTGAACGTGGCCGGCCCATCAGAGCTGAGAGCGCAGTAGGATAGCGTATATGCTCTCCATCTTGGCCCGCTGTAGTACCTCAGTGTCTGGGACTCTGTCTTGCCACTTGACACGAAGCAGTGTCCTGAGGCATCTTATGTGGAAGGCATTGAGTTGCTTGGCATGCCGGCTGTAGACTGTCCACGTTTCGCAGGCGTAGAGCAGGGATGGCAGAACTACTGCTTTACTTTGAGCTTGGTGTTAAGGCTCAGTCCTCTTCGCTCCCAGACCTTGTCTTTCAGTCTACCGAAGGGTGAACTAGCTCTAGCAGTTCTTTAGGCCACTTCCTCATCGATATTGACCGAACGAGAGAGGGTGCTGCCAATATAGACAAACTTATCTGCCACTGCCAGTCTCTGGTCGTAGATGGTGCAATGGGGCTCTACGTAAGGAACCGATGGGGCTGGCTGGTACAGAACTTCGGTCTTCTCTGTGGAGATAATGAGGCCGAAATTTTCGCAGGCTTTAGAAAAATGGTCCAGGCTTCCCTGCATGTCTGACCGAGTACTGGCATTCAGCGTGCAGTCGTCCTCAAAGAGGAAATCGCGCGCTATGCCTGCATGGACTTTAGTCCTCACCTGCAGTCTCCGAAGGTTGAAGAGTTTTCCATCAGTGCGTTAACAAAAACCGACACCGATATCTCCGTCGTGGTAGGCGTCGGTCAGCATAGCTGAGAACATCATGCTGAACAGAGTGGGGGCCAGCACGCAGCCCTGCTTCACTCCATTAGTGACGGAGAAGGGCTTGGGTACACGCCATCGTCTTGCACTCTTGCTGTCATGCCATCGTGGAACTGTTGGACCATCACGATGAACTTTGCGGGGCACCCGAACTTTGCCATGATCTTCCACAGCCCTTCGCGGCAGACAGTATCAAATGCTTTCGTCCGATCCACAAATGTGGAGTAGAGTCCAAGGTTCTGCTCTTGGCATTTCTCTTGTAGTTGACGAGCAGAGAAGATCATATCCAAAGTACTGCGTCCCACGCGGAATCCACACTGACTCTCAGGGAGCAGGTCACGCTCCAGGTGTGCAACCAGGCGATTGAGCAGGATGCGAGCCAGGATCTTCCCAGCGATGGAGAGCAGGGCGATGCCTCGGTGGTTGTCGCACGTGTTCCTGTTTCCTTTGCACTTGTAAAGGTGGACAATCAAAGCGTCTTTGAGTTCCTGTGGCAGCTTTTCTTGTAACCACATGGCGGTAAACAGGTTTGTCAGTTTCTCCATTAGTGTTGGGCCTCCAGAGGCGTAGATTTCAGCTGGAATGGAGTCGGCATCTGGTGCCTTGCCACTGGACAGGCGTTTGATGGCGAGCATTGCTTCTTTTTCTGTTGGTGGGTCTGCCAGAGTGCTGTCGATTGGCACTTGTGGTAGTCTTTCAATGGCTTCACTGTTGATGGAAGATGGTCTGTTGAGGACACTGTTGAAGTGTGTTGTGCCCAGCGCTCGAGGATTTTCTCTTTGTCTGTTATCAGCGTACCCCCGTCTGCGCTGAGGAGAGGGGATTGCCCTGACGAGGTGGGTCCGTAGATGGCCTTGAGAGCGCTGAAGAAGTTCTTCATGTCCTTCCTGTCTGAGTAGGCCTGGATGGCGTCGGCCTTCTCACTGAACCATTTGTCTTGTAGTTGTCGTAGTTTGAACTGGACTCTCCTCCTGGCCGTATTGAAGGTCTCTTTCTTTGAGATGGAAGAGGGGTCATTTAGGAGTGCTCTGCTTCTCGTCTAATATTGTCTGGATGTGACAACTGTTGTCATCGAACCAATCTTTGTGCTTGCGGGTAGTGGGGCCAATGATGTCTAAGGCAACATCATAGACGGCGTCACGGAGACGTGCCCACACTGTCTCAACATCCGCAATGGGTCTATGTCGCTTGGTTGTAGTTTTTTCTCTAGCTCTTCTACCAGCGCATGTTTGACAAGATCGTTCTTGAGCTTGGAGTCGTTCAGTCGCTTGGCCACTTTGATGCCTTGGGGCCTCCTGGGTGGTGTGATTCTGAGGCTCATCTTAGAGATGAGGAGACGATGGTCCGTCCAACATTCTGCACCGCACATGGTCTTTGTGACTCTCACTCTCTTTGCCTGACGATGACGTAGTCGAGTAGATGCCAGTGCTTGGAGCGTGGGTGCATCCATGACGTCTTGTTACGATTGGGCAGGTGGAAGACCGTGTTGGTGATGAGGAGATCGTGGGCAGCGCAGGTTTCCAACAGGAGGAGTCCGTTGCTGTTGCAGTTGCCAACACCGTGTTTCCCTAACACTCCCTCCCACGACTTGTGGTCTCTGCCGACTCGAGCATTGAGGTCACCAAGGATGATGAATTTGTCTGCCCTGGGTATGGCTGTGATGGTCTTTTTAAGAGGTCCTCGTAGAATTTTCCTTTTATGTCGTCGGGGTTGGTCATAGTAGGCAGTTTAGTGAACGCGCTCGCGGCAGGGCGAATCGGTCGCGGTACGCCCCGTAGATTTTTGTGACCGGCCGTGAAGCCTCGCGCCACGGTGGGTCTAAACAACTCACAGTTTTGTTTCGTTTTGCGAATTGCACTACCACTCCCGATACATCTTTTTAAACAGAAAAGAAAGGTCTTCAAAATGGCGGTCTTCGCGTGAAAATCGGTTCAGTAGAACTGGAAATATTTGCATCTGAAAACAAGGCAATTTTTACAACGCGATAAAATGAAAACTACTGGCTGTATATTTATGAATTTTTCAGAAGCTATAGATTATCCATTCTAGTTTCTTTTGACTCCCGAGTTGTTTAGGTTGAACTTCGCACAACGCTACGGCGCTTCCCGTAAAAATGCATACAAAAAGCCGAAACGCCGAATCGGCCGGTCAGCGACCCGACGCCCCCGCTCTCCCCTGCCCACTGTGATAACGTGTTGCGCTGGCATCGTATTTATTCGCGCTTTACTTGTTTCTCCGGATAATAATAATACGTGCGGCTATGAAATTATGAACGGACTGACAAAAGAATTCACAGTTTTGCTTTTATTTTACCATATTTGGCTCTTGAATAGTGCAAATGATAGCCAAATCTAGATTCCCTTCTAGAATTCAGCAGTAGTAGGCTAGAAGCAGTCAAAAAGCCAGCATATCTAACTATTTATGCCTATCTAACTATTTATGCCTTTGGGCTTTGGAATTGAAATAAAACTTGAATTGCACAGTTCTAATTGATGGTAGATTCAGCATCTAGCTATATATTCCAAAGTTAATAATAAATCTCATCATAACAATTGCTTTTATGAGACAACCTTTTTCTTAAATCAGTTTTGCGCACAAACTTACTAGTTAGTAGTATAGTAGTACAGAACAGAGTTTATCTAAGCCTCTGCTCAGTCTTTCACTTTCAGTACCTAATAATTTGATGTTGTTATTTTCTGGATATTTTTACATTTACATTATCAAATTGTGCCATTAAAAAAAATATAATATATATGGCCAATGAGTCTGACTCTATATTTTAAAAAAATTATGCTCATAAATGAAAATTGCTAGTTGATAATAACTCAAAATGTAATGAATAGTGAAGAAAGGTGTGAAAAAATAATAGAATGAGGTAGACTATAAAGATAATTTGTCCAAAAAATTGCAAGTGCAACTTGTGTGAAGATCATAAAATGACTGTTATTTTCTGGTCATCTTTCCGCAGTTTATTAAATGTTCCAGTGGGTCTACAACTAGTTCTCCGAAGAGCATTTTTCTTGAATTTATAAGCTCTTTTATGCACTTGAAAGCATAAAAAATAGCGTCACACAAATGTATGTTACAATACTTTGTAAAAGAAGGATAGGGAGCTGACTTATGGTGGTCATTAAGAGGTTGTTGTTTTTTTACGGAATCCGTTTTACGATTAAAAAACCCACTAAAAATACGTTTTGAAATCTTAAGAATGACCATAAAAATTGGAAATTATTACTTAATTGGCTTAACTCTTTAATAATTATGAACAGTGAATAAAGACAAAGAGAATGATGTATGATTTGTCTAAATATGACCATTAGCAGCAAAGATATAGCCCATTTTGTCCATTTCGGGTTATCCTTGCGGGGGATTTTTTATCACCCTGAACCTCTAGAAGTACCCAAAAAATATTTCTGTGACTTTGTAAAGAGGGGTTTTGTAGTTGTGTGCATTCTGTGTAAAATCCCTAACAAATTGATGTACAACACTTTAAAAAATATGCATTTTGTGTTGAGTAATGGTCATTTGTGTTGTAAAGTTGCATTTTTGTGTCACAAAAACTCAGTGTTAAAAGTGGCCTGAAATTGGCCGGATTTTAGGCATGAAAAATCGCCATAACTTTTTAACTAATAAAGATATCAACAAAATTTAAACTGTTTTATGATCATGAAGGCAAGAGCTTTCAAATGAAAGTATTTCAAAGCATACCAGACAAATTTGAAATTTTCACTAAACTGCCTAGTCATAGTGGGTGCGTTAGCGCTGATTAGCATGGCGAATTTCTTCTTGGGGAGCGGGAGGCAGGCAGTCATCAGGCGATCGTTGATTCCCTTAGGGGGAACTGCCAGCTTGTTGACCAGGTTGGACTTGATAGCAAAACCAGCCCCTGCCTCGTGACACTCGTCGAGTCCACGACCGATCCAGAAGAATGTGTAGCCGGCAGACTACTCTATGAGTTGTCCTTCCTCAGCGAGGCGAGTCTCACTATCCGTACTTTATATTGACCCAGTTCACTGGCAATAAGGGCCGTTCGTCTTTCGGGACGGTTACTCTCTGAACGGTCAAGGAGGGTGCGCACATTCCATGCTCCATGGGTGATGGTCATCTTAGATTTTAAAAAATTCTTCTTACCCCTGGTGTGGGGCCCCTGCCAGCTACCCTCTACCTGGTTCAGCCCGCCTGCCAAAGCGGTTACCGGGGTGTGGCCGCTGCGCATGCTGCAGCTTCGTGGAGCCACAGGTGAGAGTTGAGTGTCTGGTGGGAACCAATGTAGAGAGGGCTGTCCTGAAAAGGACATGGCAGGCCTTCCCCATACAAAGGTACTATCCCTCCCTGACCACTGTACACCCCATTATATGGGATAAAAACACATCATATTGGGTTACCTTTTTCTGGACCACAAACAAAGCTTTCCCGAAGAGAACTCTCATGGATACAAATACATTACAAGGGTGAACTTTCCTGGAAGCCCTATGAACGACAAATTGAAGAACACTGAAGTAAATATTATACCCCCCCCCCCCCAAATCTTCTGTAAGTAAAAAGTTAAAGATTTTCAGAAAGATTCTGTTTAAAAAAAAAGCAGTTTACGAAAGACAAAGACAAAGCGCCTGCGTCTAACCTGATGACCGAGTCCATCCCCTCCTCCGACTCCTCTTGCCCATGGTTTGAGTGAACCAGGTTCTTGTCTGTGATGTGCAGAAATCCTTTCTTGTAGCTCAGCTTCACAAACGCCTCACAGTTCAGACCGACATACCTGTGGGAACAAAAAAATCAGTAAGAAAGTAAATCGACAATCCTAGTCTACACAAAGGGAAAAAAAAGCATAAAATGTTAACTAAAAATTTATAAAAGAGTACAGATTAAAAAAAGAAGGGAAGGGAACTCTAAAGCAAAAAACTTAACTCAAACCAAAAACATTTTTATGTGGGAGAATTTAATCTTTAATTGGTCGCTTTTAAGTACAAGGGGGCTATCCCGATAAAAGCTGTTTTGAGAAATTCCAAGTTATAAGTTTTCGGATCCTTATTCAGTCTTTTTAATTGAGAGTTTCCTCTATAACAAAACAAAAATACACACGAATGAAACCAAACTTCTCCTATAGGTAGAGCAATGCCCACTACTGGTGTAGTGAAATCTGGGTTAGCCTGCTTGTCCTTAAAAAAGACCAATTTAAATAAACAATATCTATCTTTTACAAAGAAAGCAGATTAAAAGATATTTGGGATTGGGTAACTACAGAAACAAACTAAAGGAAATCTGAATCACAATCAAAGCTCATAATAACAGAGCAAAAGCTATTCATTTATTTCTTTTCTCCAGTTAAACATGTCTAACTGATTCCTTGAAACCAGGTGCAGATTTTATGTAAAATAATTGCAACGTGTCATGAATGCTATCCACCCCACCCCCCACCCAAGAAAAAAAAAGAGAAGGTGCTTTGATAAATAGAAACATGACTTGTTTGTAAAACAGAGGTTGTAACACCAACACCCCTGCACAATAACGTGTCTCTTTCTAGTAATGATGTAATACGACATACATTTCTTGTGATGACAGTATCAAGTTTCTAGCGATAACAGTATTTGACAAAATGTGCAAACCTGCTATGACGACGCTTGGTTTCCTCTCGTTTTCTCGGAGTTCCGAAATGTATGCAGATCATTTTCACAGTCTGGTAGACAAACTTGTCTGGGATCTTGTGAGTGACTCTCTTCTCATTGACGTAGTTGACACATGTCCCACTGCGGGGCTTGAACACTGGGAAACAAACAACAGTTTCACCTTTTCCACCTAACCTGGCTCTTCCTGTGGCATCAAGTTTTATACAAACCCAGAGATGCGTGGATTAAAAAAAAATAATTTGCCAGCCTTTTCAAAACCCAATCAGCAACACCCAGGGTTAAAAGTTCAGATGTTTTCTTTTTGAGTTGAATACTTTCTGAATATCAACATGCTCTGACAACCACCTGTCTAAGACAATCACTTGTATTATGTATAAAAGACCACTTCCCACATCGACCCTTGCTTTTTGTCTGTATATGACATAGTCCAAAGGACCACCTGTCTAAGATGACCACCACTTTTCTCCTCGATAATGGGTGCAAGATTGTCTGGGGCAGGTTCAACTGCATACTTCAAACTGATGCGCAAGTTATAGACAGAAATCAAGACATTTAGACAAAGTTTTAACTAACATTTATAGCAAAGCTCACCAATTATTTCAGGAAAGACTAAACCCTTTTTACTAATTATCACCTGGAACTTTAACCAAATAAAGCAAAGCTGTGTTTCACTGTTGCAGGCTCATGGCTAGATCAGCAGTTAATGGTGACCTTAGCACCACACAATACCAGGTGCACATTGTCCACTTTATACATTTGGGGCTGAGTTGGCAAATTGTGGTTCTAATGTACACCATATAAATTTATATATATCCATTAGGGCTTTACTGCATTCCATGCAAAAAATATCTGACTCCACAATGAGGAGTAGCCTTCTAATATTGGGTATTTTCACCAGACGTATCAGACATGTGAAATACAAAAGTAAAAAATCATGTTTGACTTTATTTTGAAAAATTTGGCCCAATTGTACCAAAATGGTAGCATTTGCCCCTCAATGAAAGAAAATCTGGCTTCCTTCTATTGTATCAAATGGGTAATATGCACTCAATACAAAAAAAAACTGAGAAGGAAAGCGGAGTGGAATATCTCCGGTGATATGTCAAGTTACCTGTAAGGCTCAGTTTTTGAAACTCCTCAAAGAGAGTAATGAACTCCTCCCAACTGCTGAACTTATCTTTGCCCTGGAAGATTCCATCAAAAGCATCTGTCGTGTCTATGGGCAGGAATTCTTGCTTCTCTGCCATGATGCTTCAGAAGATTTCTAAAAGAAGAAAAGTTTGTTAATCACTGTTGGATGTGAATCAATGTGTAATACAGAAAAATTAATAAATAATAATAATAGATTGCATATAACAGTAATAAGACGTTAAGATAACAGATTCATTCATGTTAATTAAAACAATAACTGTTATTTCATATAGAATTCCCCCCACCCCCTTCACATTTGAGCAGAGTCTAGAAGTCATGATCAGTGCTTCAAAGATTACTTCTTTCTTAACCTTTAGCAGCTCACAATCCCCCTCTCACCCAAGCCAAGTTTTCAACGTTCGTGACTTTTGTGTCTTTCTTCTTTTTCTTTTCATTTAATACGAATTCACATTGAAAATTGTGAAATCTAAAGCAAAGTTAGCCAAGATTTATCTATTAAATCTCACACCACCACAACTCCTCCCCCCCCCTCTGTCTGCTCTCTCTGTATAAGATGAGATTCCGGATTTTTAAAATAACAATTAACACAAGGGATTCTCATACTCTAAAAACACAGTATAACACGGATAGCTCGAATTGGTCGGGACTGACCTCCGTAGTTTGAGGAATATCTTACAAAGATAAAAAAAAAACCAAAAAAAACAGGGACCACAGGCATTTTTCGACTAACACAAATTCACACAAGGGATTTTCATACTCATATAAAACAAAATATAGTATAACACGACAGCTCGAATTCATCAAGACTGGCCTCCGTAGTTCAAAGGATACCACAGGCATTGTTCGACGAGAAGGTGTGATTTCGAGTCTTCTGTGTTTCACCTATCCCTGTTAACTGTAGAACTTTTAAAAAGTTGTGTTCCAGTTTGTGTAGAGTAGAGGGGATAGGAAAAAAAGTGTTGACAACAATACACATCTCTCCCTGTCCCAACAATGATCAAGGCAGGTGTGCACAACTAAAAGTAAAAGGTGCCCGGAATGATGCGTACAATCTGAATCATAGACATAATCAATTGCATTAAATATATTTTTAGCAGACTTTGATTAGTAAAGTCACTGTCATTTCATTATAACATAAGAATAGTTATAGTTTAGATAGTGGCCGTCCCAGATCCATAGCCATCTATAGGCTAGGATTAGATCTAGATACTTTTATTTTGGGTACATAGTTCAAGTAAAGACCAAGATGTTTCAATTGCCCTATCTCGCATCCGCGCAAGACTAGGGCGCTTCCTTCTGCTAGCGCGTGACGGCCCGTGATACAAGCGTAAACGTTCCAGCGCTCCTGAGTTGAACGCGTGCAATTTTGTCTGAGGACAGAGAGAGAGAGAGAGAGAGAGAGAGAGAGAGAGAGATAGATAGATAGATCATAGAGAGAGAGAGAGAGATAGATCAGAGAGAGAGAGAGAGAGAGAGAG